TCCTACTTGTCCTTGTTTCTGTTACTTTTTTACGAATTTGCTCTAGAATCCTACTCCATCTTGTTTTTTTTTTAATTTTTAATGTTCTTGTTTGTGTTGATTTTTTAATAATATTTGTAATATTCTTTTCAGATGGTGTCAATTGCTAACAGTTATGATCAAGAAACTCTATACTGATCAGTATTTAGTGAAGTATGATATAATAATAATCTTGACTCAAGAAGAAGTGACAGTACCCATCTCTTCTTTCCAATCCTGTCCTGTTGTTTCTGTTGCAAGTTCATGATCATTGTATAACATGAATTAATATTATTGTTTGTGTTTTTAAAATACAATTTATTGAACACACATAATAAAAAAATGATATCCAAGACTAAATACCTTCTCTCAGCTGGAACTGGAAGCCTGGAACCTCCACTTAGTATTGCAGTTGATCCAAGCAGAGCTAGATAAAAAAAATCGCTCCCTTTTCCCAGTTCTGAGATCTGAGCATGCGCAACCACTCCCACATTTTGGAGCACATGTTTCTTTAATTAATAAGATGGCGGAATGACTGAGGTAAGCTGGGCCGGTGGTGATGGAGAGAGGGCAACTTTTTCTTATTGTTAGAGTTATTAAAAAAGTTGTGGACCTGCGCATGGATAGTTGGAGTAGAGTGGTGTAAAAATTAGCCTTGTAGCATTGTTCAAAGATCACGATACCCCTGCTTAACTGATTGACAGAAGATGATGATGATGATGAAGATGAAAAAAGGTGGCTGAACAAAACGGCCGGTTCGCCTATTTTTGACTTTCTTCTTAGACAAGGTTTAGAGCTACGCTAGTGGTACCAATGGAGTCCTCTGGTCAAGATAAGATCCTCTATAAAGTCTGGTAAGCATAGGAGCTCGTTTTCCCGGTATAGCAAGGCTGCAAAAGTCGTTGCAGCCATATTGTTTTGGGGTGAATCCTACTTAGTAACGCGGTAGCGTTACTAAAATAATTGGTAGTTGGTACTCTCTTGGTGATTATGATAAAAGGTACTTGAGCTAGTACTTACAAGAAATGTACTCACAAACTAACCCTCAGGTATAATAGTAATACAAGATATTACAATCAAAAGAATTTAAGTTTTATTATTATTATTATTAGTGTTAATGCATTATAGCAAACATGACAAATAATATCTTAACTGGAATTATTAGAGATTTTATATTACATGGGAGTTTTGTAGTCAGTACTTGTAACAAAGAGACTAAACTCAAGTGTAGATTGCATTATTCATTACAAGTCAAATATCACCTACTGGACACAACAATAAATAAAATAATGACAATTACTTTTTATACTATAGTAAACTCATCAAACTATACCTCATAGTATAACTTCATACACTGTAGCCTTCTTGTCTCCAGATCCAGTAACAATAAAACGATCATCAACTGATATGTCACAGCTTAAAACACTACTGCTTTCAGACATCTGTATGTATAGGATACAATTATTATTTCATTGTACATTAATGTATAATTATAAATAAGACTACACACACACATAATAATACTAACAAGTACAAATACCACTGTACAGTTAATGTTAATAATAATGGACTATGTACCTGGAATATACTAGCACCATAAGGTGTTCTCCATGCATTTAGTAGATTATCCTTTCCTGTAGTTATAAACCATTTACCACTGTGAGCAAACTTGAGTGACAGTACACAAGACTCGTGTAAATACAACTGATACTTATCTGGACCACTCACACGAAGGACTTCAACACTACTGCTCTCCATACTAATAATACATAAACACACACACACATTAAACCATTGGTTTATCTAATACTGCTAATAATTAATAAGACTATTGGTATATAAAGTATACAAGCATACAGTGATATAGTGGATTAATTTTGTAGTTCTAAAGCTTTCAGCATTTGATCCTCATACACTAATTTGTGGGTTTAGTTTTCATTGATGACAATATATGGAGCCTGTAACAAGTAGGTACTCTATGTTTGTTTCATGCAATGGAAATAACGTAAGCAATATAATAACTTAAAAATACTTTTATCTTACCCTACTGCTAGCCAATCAGAAGTAGGACAGTATCCTAATGAGAATATCTGACTATTAAAGTCTTGCTGTTGTAGTTGTCTTCCTTCTCTTAGATCCCAACATCTTACAGTAGCATCAAGACTACCAGTCCATAGTTTATTACCATCAGGTGCAATATCAACACAACTAGCCCTTATCAGTGTGACCTCTTAATAGTCTTGTCATCTCACGATTACAAAGATCCCACATAGCAATATTACCGGCATCACTGCAATAACTGAAGCATGTCTATATATAGATCTTCAGTATATGAATG